CGACAAGGAGCGTCTGAACAAGGGCTGGCCATGGCCTCCACCTGAGCAAGCAGGCCAGAGCACAGAGGCCTGGCTGCACCAGGCGGCCTGGACCAGGGAAGGSACCCCTGCATCCAAGGGGAAATGTGTGTGATGGCACAGGAGTGCCCAGGGCCCAGGAACCAACTGGTTAGAGGTGACTCTGGCAGGCACCATGGGCAGAGGACCGTGGTGTGAGGCAGGCCCTGGAGGCGGAGCGGAAGGACACACTCCTGTGGCCCCCCAGCCAGTGCTCACCAAGCGTGTGCAGTGAGCAGACAGGCTCAGGCACCTTTCCCTGAAACCGAGGCGGGGTCAGAAAGTCGGGAAACAAAACCCAAACAGAATGGCGGCGTCCAGCCACACCAAGGAAACACGGCGTTCCCCCTCGTCGTCTGGCCAAACTTGTAAGTCCCTGCAGTGACACTGATATTAACAGTCGTGGCATGTGTCTGAGAAGCAAAGAGGAGGAGGGAGAGTCCCAGCTTAAAGGTGACGGTGAGGGGCTGAGTGTTTCCTCTGGATTTTGAATTTTATACCGCCTTGGGATGGTGTTCTTGTGCAGTTAATAAGCGCTCTTTGCAAAATGTCTGACATGGTTGTACCTGAGCCAGCAGGAGGATGTGGGGGAGCTGCTGCCAGCTGGCCCCTAACTCTCTGGCTGTCCCTGGCTGGTGTCTGTACACAGAGGGCCCCCAGTGGCATGTGGACAGTTCTGAGTGAACAGAGGGCAGGAGAGTGTCTAGGCTCAGGTTCGCAGCTGAGAAGGTGGACAACGCTGGGCTGGGGCACCCTCAGGACCCAGATCCACAAGCTTGATTCTTTGTCCATCTCCCCTGACGACTTCAGAGGTCCTCCCTCTCGCTCCCAGCTGGCCAGGGATCCTGTGCTTCCCTGCCCCGTGACTGGTGACCGCCTGCCTGCTGGGCTCCTCGAACAGGGCTTCCCTCTGCTCAGAAGAGTTTCTGGCCAYGTGGCCTCTCTGGGAATGGTGGGGGTAATGGCCAAGACGTTTCCATGAGAAAGGGCAGCACTGGGACAAAGTGACCGGTGTACTGATCTGTCTCTGTCYCAGGAAAAGATTCAAAGGGGAAAATGACTTTGGAATTGGGATGGTGGCTTCAAACCTCCTCGTGGAGTCTTCTCTGCCAACAACCGTCAAAACGGGCAACATATTACCTGTTTAAACAGCAACCCAACAGAAACACGTGCGACAGCGAAAGCAGAGACTTCCACTGCTCCTTCTCCTCTGGTTGACGCACCTCGTGTAACTGCCAATTACGTCATCACCCATGGAAAGCTGAGCTGTGTTAAGTCCTGGGAATGTTTAGCATTCGCTGTTCCAAACTGTCAGGATCAGAAGTTTCCAAAACAGGCCTGAGGATGCTTTTTTCCCTGGAGAACTTGGTAGTTACCATAGGAATGAAGTTGTAGAGTTATATTTTTATGAACATGCCTGACACGCCCGTTCCATGCAAGGCATTGTGCTGGTTCTACACAGAGCAGGAGACGTCCTCGGGACRGGAGGAGTTCCCACTAGGAGGGGTCTCAGCCCCAGAGAGCCATGAGAACTTGCTCACAAGTGGCCAATGCGTCTCCACCAAGAAACAGGCGCCCAGAAGAAGGGAATTGCGGCCAGAGAGAAGGTGGGCACCCTCCCGTGCCTCTGCTCCAACTCCCCACCCCACCAGGGTGGTGTCCCGGTGGCCAATCCTGCCGTACAGCCCTGCCTCATCCCAGGTCCCAGCTTGAGGAGCGTGGCTGCAGGCCCCTCCAAGCCCAGCGCCTCTGTCTGCTCCCTCTCTCTGCCTCGCCAGTCTGTCCCCCTCTTCTTTCCCTGCCCCCACTCATGTCCACCCGCCCAGCCCACGTGTGCTGAACCTCTTCCAGTTGTCCAAACAAAGCTCACACTCCACGCGCGCCGTTGCCTCGGCTGGAAATGCTGTCCAGCCACACGCTCCCTTCCCTGAAGTCCTCCTCCTCCTCTTCTTCCTCCTCTTCATCTATCCATGAGGCCCAGCCTCCCTTCCTGTAGGGGCTCCCAGAGGCCAGCAGGGACCAYATGAGTGTTGAACACGAACGTTGACTAAAGAGTGTTCAGATCCACGGGTCCTCAGTGAGCACTAGAGAGAGAAGGGAGACGGGAGCAGACGGAGCGAGAGAGAGCCAGGTGATAAATAACGCCCGGGACACCCACCCCAGAGACGGCTTCTCGGTCTGTGACCCGTCTCCACCAGGTTCCTCCTTGCCCAGGGCCGCTGTGTCTGCTTCCCAGGCAGGTTTGCTTTCAGGACTGTGTCCTGGCAGCCTCGAGTGGCTGACCCCAGGCTAGCCTGTGTCCTAGGTGGGCTTCTTAAYCCGTGGCCATTGGTTTCAGGGGGCCCTGGAAGGTGGCTAGTGGCCTCACAGGTTTGAGCCCTGGTATTTCTGGGCCCAGTTCTTCAGGGCAGGTGGCTTCCCACCAGCCTCAGCACCCTGCATGTCGTATCAGCTGGGGTCCAGGGTCCTGTGAGCCCCAGACGTACCCTGGACCTCCACTGTGTGGCCCTTGGGCTCTCCCATTTCCTGTGTCTCCGTGTCCTCCCTAAAAGCTCCAGGAAAGCAAGAGCATGTCCATACCTGCAGCCCGGTGATACCTGTTGGATAGACCCATGGACCCCCTCAGCCAAGCAGAGCTGAGCTGCCTGGGTCAGAGGTTGATCAGAGTCCAGGGCGCTCAGCACAGATGGGTATCAGGGACACAGAAACTGTGAAGGCCAGCTGGACGCTGACCATGCCATGGGGCAGTGTTTGATCAAGGCGGACCACAGGGAGCCGTTGGAGGTATCTGGGCTGGCCCCTCCCTTGACCAGAGCTGTGTTTGCTTCAGAGATAACTGACAGGACCCAGTGTGAATTGGGGTGGGAATCACATTCCCCAGGGAGCAGGCACCACAAGGTCTGGGTTGGAACCCACTCCAGGAAGCCCAAGGCCATGTCCTCCCACGTGGCCCTCCATGGCCACACCTGTCCAGCTAACAGTTGGTGTGTGCTCACTTCAAKGCCACTGGCCCGAAGCCGGGCTGGCCTCCTTAGCAGGTGGGAGGTGGTGATGAACCCGGTGGTCCCTCCATTCGACAGTTGTGTCTTCTTCTAATGTGYTAGGAAACTCTGACCAAGGTGCCAGACCCTTTCCCGGTGTCTGGCTTCGCTCCCCATGATGTCTTCGGGTTTGTCCTGTTACAGTGTGTCAGTGCCTCCGTCCTTCCACGGGAGTGTGCCACCCTGTTGTATGGGCATTCCACATGTACCCATTTATCTAAGGATGGGACATGTACGCTGCGGTTCTCCTCTAAGCCAACAATTGTTCTTCCAATGCCCGTTGCAGACAGGTAGAGATGCAAGACCCGGAGGCTGATGAGGCCTCGCTGCACCAGGGCCCTCTGTCTGGTGGGAATGGAAGGTGACCACAGGAAGGACACAGATGCCTGGGCAAGGCCCAGAGAGGGAAGCTGACCCCGGGGGCCAGGCAGCCATGGAAGAGGCTTGCTGGGGGAGAGAAGTCCTGCCAAGTCCAAGGTCATCAGAAAGCCTTCMAGGAGGGCAGCCTTCCAGGCAGAGGGGCAGCAGGAGGAAGGAGCAGGAAGCAGAATAGAGTTGCCATTGCGCCTGGGTGGCCTTCTGGGGGTGGCTGCAGCTTTGTCAGGTGGGAGGTGACTCGTGTGCAGGTGGCAGGAGCAGGCGGGACCTGGTCTGGGTGCCACTCCTGGGAGCGCTGGCAGGGCCTGCTGGAGGGCTTGGACTCTGTCCTGTGGGGACCGAGGCCCTGAGGAGCCCCCACAGGGGTCTCTGTGGGGCTTCAAAGGAAGGAAGCCATCAGGTTGGATCTGCCCTTCCGTCCCTCCGGCAGGACAGAGGGTGGCTCTGAGTTGGCCGTCAGGAGCAAGGGGCCCAAGCAGAGGGAGAGTTCCCCAGAAAGTGTAGGAGGCAGAGCAGGCGGGGTCTGCTGCCCGCTTGGTGAAGGATGAAGGAGAAGGGGAAAGCCAGGGTCCCCAGCAGGCGCTGCGCAGCCCAGGGCATGTGGGYGCACCACGGGTGATCGGGGGCTGTTCCCAGAGCCTGACCTGGAAGGGCTGTCGGGTGCCCTGAGCCACAGTGCTCATAGCAGTCGGAGGCACCGTCTCACGTTGCCGCATCCTCAGCTCCTCTAAAGGTGGGAGTGGAGCGCGAAGCTCCTCGCAGACATGGTAAAGACCAGCGTGTCCCTTTTGCCCTTTCTGAGGGTGACGATCACGGGACCTGACTCCTGAGGTGGTAGAGACGTGGCTCTCCCAGCTGGGAGCTGATGGGCCTGGAGGCCCAGGGACAGATTCGACTGGGAACCTGGGGCTAGGAGCAGAGCGCTGCCCATGCAGGTGGCGGTAGTACCATCCCCCTCTCAGCGCACTCAGCAGCAGGAGCCAAGGAGGGCGAGGCCAGGTGCTCTCTGCAGTGGGTGGGCCCCGGCTGCAGAGGCCAGTAGGACCYGGCTCTAGGAAGGACGCTGGGCCCCTGGAAGCAGGTTGCTGCCCAGGACTGGTTTCCAGGTTCAGGTGAGCAAGAGGAAGGTGCAGTTCTTGTCCCTGTGGAAGCCCAGGACTGGTAAGTGACACAGTGGAGCGCAGGATGGGGACAGCTCCCAGCCAGGTTGTGGAAACTCTAGAAGGGATGAGGAAGGAATCCGCCTTACGCCATGGAAGGCCCCAGGTCATTACAAAACAGGACCAAACCATRGGCTGTGTCCCCCTGGGAGACCCTGAGGAGGGAAAGCAGTACAGGCARGGGACACCTCTGTGCCCTGTTGGTGGACCCAGCAATCTCTGMTCATGATGGCCAGCAGCAGAGACCCCTGGTGACCCAGTGGGACTGTCATGACAAACCACTGTCCGGCACCACCAYATATGCACCTTTTACTAGCTGACCTTCAGCCTGCGGTTAACAAGCACATTGTTCTGCTCTGAACAGGAAGAAGAGGAGGAGTGGAAGATGTCAAGGAGCGCCTTCCTGCCCTCCATGAAGGAAGGGAGTGACGTATACAAAGGTCAGTCTGGAGAGTGCTCCTGGCCACCGGGCACCCAAGGGCACAACCAAGAGAGGCAGCCAGCTRCAAGCCACCAGGTTCCCTGTCGGTCACCCGTTCCTTCTGGTGGCTTAAAGGGGTGTACTTGGTGGCTGAGCAAGACATACGCGGGACAAGACATGTTCAGAACTCCTGTCCTATTTATTGAGCCTTCATTCTTCAGCTGACTGTTCTTCTGCTTGGTGGAGGGAGGAAAAGTATCCCCTAGATTGTTTACATGGAGGAAATCCACACCACGGGCACAGTGGGATGCAGGGTCCTGTTAGAGCAGGGCCTGTCCCTGAGTCCTCCCAACAGCTGTTCAACAGGATTAGCATGGCCAGAATCTGGCACGATCCCAGTATGAATTGGTCTTCCAGACCTTTCTATTCTAATTTGCTAGAAYTCTGATCCAGGTCCTCTAGTGCTCCTCCATCCTCGGGATAAAGCCCAATGCAGAGTGACCTGTCAAAATGACCCTGGTCATTAGTACTATTGTGGAAATTCCTGAGAAATGCAATAAGAATCTTCCCAAACCTCAGTCCRTCACATGCTTCCTTCCCAATTCTGACTTATCTGGACAGCACTGGTACTGCCACTGACATAGATCTATTTGTTTTAAAGTTGATTCAAGGTTTTCATCTCAGTAAGTGTGGTTCATCCTGAGGGACAGCGTCAACATAGTTTTAGGTTTCCCATGATAGGAGACAACCATGTCCCTGTGCCACCTCAGTCCTCTGACAGACCCGGGTGCCAAGAAGGGTCCGCACTTCACCCAGTGCCAACTGAGGTGGAGCCACAGGGCACTGTGACATCAGCAGGACATGGCACCTGCTCTCACAGRGAGGAAGGAGGTCAAAGGAGTCAGCTAACGTTGACTGAGTGCCCAGACACATTGCTGTCCCTGTCGAGGGGCGGCTGGGAGGCCACCGGCCACCCAGGGCTGAGKCTCGTCAGCTCTTGAACCTGCAGCCGTGCGGAGCAGGTGGCGGCTAGCACTCACGTGGCCTCCTCCCATGGCCACTCAGCCAACGCTGACAGGGTGGCTTCAGCCTGTCGGTGTGAACCAGCCTGAGGTGGGAAGGTGACCCTGCACAGCTCTGCAGTGTTGTGGCTGCAGCSGTGGATGGGCTGGGAGGTGGCGTGAGCAGGGCCGTTGGTGTTGGCGAGGATGACGGCAGTGACATCCAGCAGGTCTGGCTAGCGAGGGCGCTGCAGGGCCACAGGCCTGGCTGAGGGCCCTCAGGTGTGTCAGTCACAAGAGCAACGATGTTATTAAAACGCTGCTTTGCACACGGCTGTCTTTGGCCCTGAGGACAGCCCCCCTGGGTGTCCCCTGGGAGCTGCCTGCAGTGTCGGCCTTGGCCTTGGCCTTCCCTTGCCCTGGGGACATCCTGCTGCTGTCCCACTTTCTTGTCACTCCCTCATTTTGGGGAGCCCGTCCTCAGGAGGCCCAAGGGAGCTCCCCTGGGAGCTGCAGGGGCCCCTGTGTCTGCGGCTGCGCTCACACTCAGGCTGTGGAAGGCTGCACTCACACCAGGCTGTGGAAGGCCCAGCTCCCTTCTCCTMCGTAACCTGGAGAAAGCGAGGGCAAGAGGAAGACAGGTCGGGCAGAGGCCTCCGCTCCCACTGTGGCAAGTCAGGAGGGAGCCTGGAAGCACACATTAGGAGGACCCAGGACCTGAGGACCGAGGAAGGCTCCTGGGGAGCTGGGCCCCGCACTTCCTCCAGGTGCCTGGCTCTCCCCACTGCCAGGTCCTTGTACTCTGTCCCCACTGCCCTGCGGCCCAGGTGAAAGGAGCCACCCGTGGGCAGCTCACCCTGCCTGGCTCTCCCTGCCAGCCTTGAAGTTAGTGCCAGGGTCCATCCTGAGGCTTCCTGTAGCCGGGTGCTGAGTCCCCGGGACAGGACCTTCTACCTGCTCTGAGAGCAGCCCCCGGCCATAGCAGCACTCAGCAAAGTCCCAGGTTAACAACTGGACTCATTCCACCTGTCACTGAGTGAAAGAATGAACATGGGAATGAATGTCATAGTGTTCTGATCGTCCTCTGATACTCTGAGTCTGTAACCATGTGCACACATTCCTTTGACAAAACGCAAAAATGAATTTGGGGAAAATCTGACATTCCCATGGGAAGCTCAGACTTGCAACCTGCTAAGCCACACAGGAGAGCTCTGGAGCTATCCCGCCTTTTGTGTCATGTCTGTTTCCTGGACGGCTGAGACACCGAGCAGCGTCCCTCCAGAAGGGCCTGCAGTACCCTCCGTGCTGGACGGTGCCAGGAATGTGCTATCTGCCAGGTCTTTGGTAACTTAAAGAAATCAAATCTCTTCATCTTAGAGTTCTTTTCTTTACAATCAAAGGTTTTCCTTTTCAAATAAGACATTAGCATTTTAATCACTCAGATTAACCCCCCTGGGCCCCTCCTGGGCCACTCTCCCCTACTCCCCTACGTGTGAACCAGCCCTGGCCTGCTTTTCACATTCTTGGGATAAAAGCCAGTTGGGGCAGTTGCTGCCCTTGAGGGTCATGCTCAGCTTCCTGCAATTATAAATGCCCATGAAATTCTTAAAGGGATTGAAAAGTGCCCTGTGCAAAAGTGTCATGAGAAAAGCAAAGTTYCATTGGAAAACTCAACCCGTTGAGACCATCTAGGGGGGAATAGGAAAAGCCTGTGCGCGGTGCTTCATTTTAAAACATCTCTGCAACTYGGGCCAGAGAATGTGTTACTTGCAACTGTTTGTACATAAATAACCAAGCCGTGCTCCCTTTCTGATATGTCTTCTGCGCTCCTTTTATTATTGGATGAGTTGTTCCCAGATTTTAGTGTATCCAATGAAAAAGAAAAGCAGCTCCCTGTAAATTACAAAGCCATTTTGCTTTAAAATACCTTAATGTGACAGGTGGGTTTTGCTGTTGGTGAAGACTTAGCAATCCTCCAGGGAACCCTGCTTGAAAAGAGCTATTACTAGTAAATGGCGCATTCTAACACATTGAAGCCTTTCCTAGTGTTCTTGAGGGGAAAGGTTATGATTTTCAACACATAAAGGAAGCATCTGTTATTCCCATAGTTTAAAGCATTCCGTAGTTTAAGCTCATGTATGTTTCAGAAAATGCACTAATGGAAGCACCTGCCTYCAGATGAGGGCACCATCAGCCAGGGCAGCCATGGGGGATCTTGCAAGCTAACCGTAGTGCACATTCTGCGGGGATTCACGGTGAAGAAGAAGCTTCCCCCCATCGCCGGCTTCTCTTAATGAAGGGATTGTTTTACGTCCACAGAGGGTTGTGGACAATTTACACWTAACGTTTCTGTCGGGACTCTAGCTGGCTCGCAGGGAGGATTATTTACGAGAACAGAAGTTGAGCCCAGGCCTCCAGCCATCTCCTGCAGGCCCACTCCCCTCCAGCCGCCCTTTGGACTTCACACCTCAGTTCCAAGCTGGTCACCTCCCTGGTCTGGGTTGCAGCCCTCTGGAACTTCACCCTCCTCCTGCGGTCACCCTCAGAGGACTGCAGACTCATGGAGGCAGGGCCCATCCCTCTCCCCACCCCAGCATTCTCATCTGCTTGTGCCCCTGTCACCCGGCCACCTCTCATGTGGCTTCTGTAACGGGGAACTCCTGTGAAAATCTACCCTCTGTGTGGTTTATTTCTTGTCGGTTCATTCCAAGGCCACACTGGGCATTCTATTCTAGAAGAAATCTGGGGCCTTTCAACAGCATCATTTTCAGAAATCCCACCCCTGCAACCTTGGGTCCCACGAGGCTCAGCCTCGCATCTGGGTGGCAGAGACGGCCATCAGCTGGCCCCTCTCACAGCCCTGCCTGGCCCAGTTCCATCAGTTTTCTTTTTGGTGGGAGGTAGGTAAGCAGGGCCTGCGAGGACCCTTCTGGACCCTGGGGGACCCAGACAGGCTCTGCTCCCGCCGCCCCCTGCTTCTCTGAGTGATACAGGTCCTCCTTGTTTTCTCTTGGGTCACAGTTCTCTGGATCCAACTCCTGAACCACCAGGGGAAGGCAAGAGGGAAGTTCAAAATATGTGTGATTTCCAAAACATCCAAAAAGTAATTCAAAAAATATACTGTTGGTTAGGAGAAAGCAGCTTCGTGGGCTTGGCCTGTTGCAGGTATCAGGGAAGGCTCAGCCACGGGGAGGGGTCAACGGTGGGCAAGTGCAGCAGCCACAACTCTCACCCTTCAGTGAATAATAAAGTGATAGAACACCTCACAAAAATAGAGCCTGTCATTGTCTGGTCCCACTGCACATGCTGTTCTACTGGTCTGAGCCACGGGACGGGGTACCGTCTGCCTGTTTCCCATTAGCGGTTCTCTCTTTGTCAAGGTATTCCATTAGYGTGCCCGTGAGTCCGTCCTCTCTGGCCTGCTTTTTTCACGCTCCCCCGACAAGAGGCTGAAAGGGAGGCTTTGAAAGGGAGGCTTGTGTTGGTCCTAACAGCAGCTTCCTGAGGCCCGCGTGCCGACGTCCTCTCCTTCTCTCTCCCTTGCCCTTCTCGGTATAGACAYGTGGATGAATAAAGATGAATCTCAGAATTTCCCTCAAGACTATGACGAAGAGCTGATCAAGAAGGAGAAACGGAAGGAGGTGGAGGCGGAGATCAGGGTGCAGGTAGGGCACACCTGTCACCGCTCAGTGACTCGGCTTCTGGGCACTGCCTGTCCGTGACCACCCTTCAGATTAGAAGCAGTTTYTGAACTTCACCAAGAAAACCACCAGGCATGCAAGGTGACTGAGAAGTGGCCTTTCGTCTTCCCGCAGGTTGATGAGCTGATGCGACAGGAGCTGAAGAACTTAAAACTMGCAGTGAACAAGGAAATGGAGCTTCCGGTCAGAGCAGGAAAGAAAGGGAAGGTGAGTGTGAGGACGTGGGGTGGAGTGGGGGGGAGGTGACTCATTCAGTGACCGGAAGGAGTGGGGCGCCCTGGTGGGGTGCCCTGGTGGGCCGCCTGGCAGACCAGGTGGCTGTCCCCAGGAGCTCGAGGGGCAGCACGCCTTCCTTTGGTAAGCTCAGGGGGTTGGCCACTTGGCCCTCTGGGGGGGCTCATTCACAGGCTCCGCTCCGTCCTCTGACAGTAACTTCCTCGACCCCTCAGCAGGGGCAGCACCAGATGCCCAAGCCCCGTGGGCAGGAGGAGAACTACCAGAGGAGCCAGAGCACATGCCCAAGTGCCCCTGCCCCCTCTCCCCCTGGAGGTAGATCTTTAGGGGTGGCCAGCGGCGACGACCAGGCTTGTGGGGGGTGGGGAGGTCAGAACAGAAGGAATCGGTGAGTTGGCCCTRAAGTTGCCCCCACCCTGTCTCCCCTGGTAGGGAGCAGCCACCTGGACCAGAGTGTCCAAAGTTCGCGTACTTGGTCCCCTGCTTCACCTTCAGAGACGGGGAGCAGAGGACAGACACGCAGCCTGCACTCGGCCCTTCAGGGGAGTTAGAGACAGTCCTGCCACGGGGGCAGAATACCCAAGGCCAAGATGTCACCCTGGGGCATGGGCATGAGCACGGCAGCTGAGCCGTGGCCGAGGGACAGACACAGTCCYCCTGGGCTTCTCCACACTCGAGTCTGGCTTTCCCAGCCCAGGGACTGTGGCCCGGGATGACGCTCCTAGCCCATGTCGTCCTGGTTTTACAGCTCAACTCTGAGGGCCCCTGAGCTCCCCGCACACGGTGGCCCCATGAGGTCCTCACTCCCTGGTGAGGGCACCTGTTGCTGCCCATCAGCTCCATGCACGTCCATCTGCAGACMAGGCTGTTTTAATGACCGAATGTGGAAGTTCGACTGAACAAAACCAGACGTGAAACTGGACCCCCTGGCTGGGATCCCTTTCCCCTCGCACCAACCACCTCACTGCCTACCTCGCCCAGATCAGACCAGGCCCTCGCTCTCCTGGCAGCATCCCTCTCGTCTCCTGCCCTTGCCATGATGCCGGGGATTGTGCCGTCACAAAGGATGTCAGGTGCTCCAAGAGGTGGACTGTAATTGTGGAACCACAGAGTGTTGCACACCCAAAACTCCAGTCCAGGTGACCCAGGGGTGAACCCTGGGATGTGATGGACTGGGATTTAATTCCATAAGCCGGAAGTTCACTGGGCACTGTGTATTCCTCCRTGGGAAGACCACGAGCCACAGAAGAGACGAAGCAGGAGGAATCCGAGGGGCTGAATCTGTCGGTAGTCACCCAGCACTTTCCAGGGAGAGTGGCTTGACCATATCCAGAGTCCAGAGACCCTCACTGTCTCCAACTCCCCTGAAGGGCCCGAGYGCAGGCTGCGCGTCTGTCTTCTGCTCCCCTGTCACCCTTCCTGACACCCAGTGAGTCCTCAGTGTGTCTTACATCTGGATCCTGCGCAGATTGATCCCTGTAGACGAGGGGGCGTCTCGGGTGTCACTGTGGCCTCAGGAGCACCCCACCACCTCCCCTCCTGCCTGGAACCTCAACTCCTGATGAGTGGCTGCACTGCCATGTCATTCTCTTAGGGAGRGCCAGTCCCCAGCCTGCTTCTCTCGACAATCATATTTCCCATCACAAATTAATCAGCTTTGATCGTGGTCTGTTCACCCTCTGGTGATTTGGAGATCCAGAATCACACCCTGGGGGGGCAGAACGTCTTTTTGTTTCACTCAGTTAGTGTCTATGAACACCGAGGCCGGGTGCACAGGGAATACGAAAGACAGAAAGACAGAGATCTGTCCTGCCAAAAGCAAGATTCTGTCTACAGGACAGCGGTGTTCCCTGGGTGAGCTGTCCTCCGCCCTGACGTCCCGGGGTGAGGTCCTGCCTCTTGCAGGCTGTCTCTCTCAAGTCCCCGGCTTGTTCTAATCACAAAAACCTAAGGACACAGAAGTTCCTAAAGAAGCCTGGAGCTCCTGGCAGGTTTGGCTCTCCTCCCGAGGGCTTGGATATAGATAAAACTTGCCACATTTAAMCAAGGATAGGACCAGCAAAATGGCAGAAAAGGAGTCCATCCTCACTCCCCCAAGAAACACCGATTGATCAACCACCCACAGGCAGGTGGATCCTCACAGGAGCCTGGAATCCAGGTGTGAGGATGCAGCACCTGGGTGAGGTGCAGAAACGAGCAACMCTCTGGAGGGAGTAAGAAGAAATGCTTCACATTGCCCAGGTCACGTCCTTGCCCTTCCCAAGCCCACGGGTCACATCACAGAGGCCCACTTGGCCTGTGGAGCCTCCCTGTGGGGTGGGTGAGAGGGGAGCGCCTGACTCCACCACAGATTTGTGCACCTGGACCCAGCACTGCAGGCCGACCCACAGGCCTAGCCCAGGAAAGATYCGGAGTGTATCACTACAGAAAATCACCAGCTCACCAAGGAGAGCAGCAAGAGAGAACCACAAAAGAAACAGAAAACAGTTAAAGCAATAGCAAGTCCTTATCTATCAATAATGTAAGTGCATATGGATTAAACTCACCGATCAAAAAATACAGAGGGACTGAAAGTCTGTTTTRAAACAAGAACCAGCTGTGTGCTGCCCACAGATGGCTCCTTTTAGACTCAAGGACACGTAGAGGCTGTGTGTGGAAGGCTGGGGAGGACCTCCCTGCGAGTCCCCACCAAAAGCAAGAAGAGGCTTCACTTCTGCAGAGCAGACCCTGAGTCAAAAGCAGCCACAGAGACCAGAGAGGTCCGTCCCCTAGAAGAGGTAGCAGTTAACGCCATCCTATGTCAAAGCGCACAAATGTATGAAGCAAGCGCTGACCTCCTAAGGTCAGCCTGCARTGGAGTAGCACTCTTGACAGATGAAGAGGATTGATAGGATGGAGAGCTGGCGATTGGTGTCCAAGGTTAACAGTGGGGCGTCTTGGAAGGCAAGGGTGCAGCAAAGGGCCCCTGAGGGACCCTGCCTGTGTCCTCGTGGAAATGTAGTGCACTTGACTGTGGGTGTTGACGTCCTGGCCGGGATCCTGTGAGGCAGTTCTGCAAGACACCGYTGCTGCAGGAACCCGGGAAGGCCCGCGGGAGCCTTCTGTGGGTGGCTCTGCTGTTACCTGGAAAGAAGATCCTGAAGAACCAGAGACCATGACAGAAGCGCGGCCGTGCAGTCCTGTCCGTGAAGCTCCATGTTGTGACAGAGTTTGAAAGAAGCCAGTGTGTGACAATCTCACCTCCAAGAGCCTGTGGTGACTCAGCAAGGACAGAGGTGAAGATGTTGTGTATTTTGAAATGAGCAGAGGTTATATGTAAGAGCTCAATGCAAAATCAGATCAAGCAATAAAAAAGAGGGAATGGGGAACCCTCAGGAGGGGTGGAATGCAGAGCACCCAGGGGTACGATGATGCCTGGCGTCTGTCATGTCTGGGAAACATGCTCGCTGGAGGGGACCTGGGCTAGAAGGTGACAAGAAAGGAAGCCCAGTGCTGGAGTGCCTTTGCCAGCAGTGCCTTGGAAGTCCTGCTCATCCTGTGGGCCGTGGGGAGCTGCGGAGGGATACTGTAAACAGAACCCTGAAGGGACCAGTGCCACTGGGAGGCTGCACTGGGAGCCTGTCCCTCCAGGCTGGATCCCAAAGCCAGGTTCCTTGGGAACAGGAGCTGGACAATTGCCTGGCCCTGAGGGCTCCCAGGTTGGGCCAGTTGCTAACAGAGAGGTGATAGGGTATCGCCCTGGTCCATCTGGGCTGCTAGGACAAAGTGCCCCAGACTGGGTGATCGATAAAGCAAGAGAAGTTTATTGCCATGAACTCTGGAGGCTGCAGACGCCATAGCRGAGGCTCTCGGCTTCTGAGATGGCCCTATTAGCTGTGTGTCTCCATGACGGAAAAGGTGACAGCTCTCTCTGTCCTCTTGCACCAGGCACCTACCCTGATCATGAGGTTGGAGCCCTCTTAACCTGATTGTCTTCCAAAGGCCCTACCTTGCAGGACGGTCACCCCGGGGCCAGCTGGGGAACAAGCACTGACCATGGTAGATTCAGAGAGAAGCMCAGCCCAGTTCTCTGCCTGTGCCCAGCTTCTCTGTGCCAGCGCTCAGAGGACAGGACGGACCGCTGGGGCCGATTTGGAATTTGGCCCTRTGCAGTTTCACAGCGAGACCCACCTTCTGTCCATAGGGACCACATCTGCGGGGGGCCCCGGGGATTCCCCAGGCCACTCCCTCCCCTCTGGAAACAGGGCAGCCCTGGGAGCACATCCTCCCCTCCCACGACCCCAAGGAACCRTCTGCTCAGCTGATCTCTGCTCAGTGGAGGTCACTTCTGTTTCCTTACAGAAAAACAAAGGGAAGAAAGGGAAGCGAGGGAAGAGGGGGAAGAAGGACAAGGACCTGACGGCCGACAGGTGAGGAGAACAGGGGCAGAGGGGGCCGGGAGCCCTGAGCCGCAGGAGGGCGCCCCCTGTTCCTCGGCAGTGTCGTGGAAGGAGCAGATCTGGGGGAGCCTCCCGCAGCCCAGCAGATCCCAGGCTGGAAGGGGCACAGCAGGAGGACGGCCCAGAGACGGACCTGGGTGCYGGGGCATGGAGCTCACGTGGCGTTTTGAAGTGTTAAGATTCCTGCGGGGCGGGGGTGGGGGGTGTTCTTTAAAAGTTGTTCAGGAAATAACGACCCGAGGAACCTCCAGAGGACACGCCAGGCAGAGTTCCTTCGGGGTAGAGAGAGTCTCAGTCCTCCCCGGGCCTGGCCGCCCCTGCTGGGCTCCCTCCAGCTTGTTGCCGGGAGACCAAGGRCAGACGGAGTCTGCCAAAGAGGGTGCTCCATTCCTCGAGTTTCGCGGTTCGGATTCCTAGTGAAGGATGGCTTTAAATGCYGAGTTTTTAAAGCTGAAACGGCTCTCAAGTGCTACAGCATTGAAAATAAAGAGCGCGAGGGTCCACGTGTTAGGGAGGGAGTACCCTAACAGGAGGGTGTCGGGGCCTTCTGAAGGGACCTTTCCTGCCAGGTGTTTTGCTCACAGTGGACGTGGGGGGCKCTTTTTTGGGTGCCATACCCCACCTGCCTACAACCACCACCCAGTTAACCCCTACAGGGGATTAGTGCACCATAACCAATCGCTTCACCCCAARCGTCCTTGCACTTTCTCACACAAGCTTTTGGGGGACACCTCGGATCTRAACCATAACAATGCCTATGGTATGTGCCTATAGTAATTCAAGTTAAAACACTGCAGAGGGTATCTGGTGGATGTGGATCAGGTACTGCTACCCCCAATTCCATTACCTTTAGCCCTTTCCTAATTTTCGGCAGAGGGCGAGCTATTTTTAAATACGTTGAAGACTGGAGGTCACATGGGTCCCAAAAGCACTGACCTTCCTGAGTCTCTTTTGTCCCTTGGATCACAGAACAGTGGGAGAACTGTTGGAAAATAGCTTTATTTATAATTTATTTATAATAGAACGACGGGTGGGGTGGAAGGAAAAGAAGAGGAAGCATCGTGGCCGCCCACGCTGAACCATATTTGAGCTGACTATCGGAATYCCCACAAACCCCACCTGACATCGCTGGGGGTGGTGGCCTTTAAGTGGGACCCTGCGTCCATTTTTGCTGGGTGGCATGAATCACAGAGTGCTGGCTCTGTGCCAGGCCCCTCTTTGAGAAGTCCTTTCGGCACCTGTAAACACTGCAGAATGTCCGCAGCCTGCTAGAAACAAACCGTTCCCCACGCAGCCTTACACTTCACCTTCCATGTAGGAGAGATCTCCAGCAGAGGCCTCGCTCCTCRTACTGATTTCTTTCAAACCATCATGCTGTTAGGTTAATAGGAAACAAGAATTTCACCAAGCGTTGATGATTTCCCACTGCGGGCAGGTGCTGACTGAATAGCGCATTGCTAGCATTGGGTGATTTCTAATTCACATTTGTGCTATCACGAAGACTGGTGGCCACTCGGCTGGCCTCAGCTACCCCGAGATATAATCCTTATTGATGGAAAACACCCGATACGCACATGGATGAGTGAAAGCTCTATTTTTAAAGGCCAAATTTACCCCCCAAATTGTAGAAACACCTCAAAAGTCCATTCATTTGCATTCATGCAGATATACTTTGAATAGATGTGGTCKAAGTTCTTGGCTCATGTGCTGATTGACAGAAATACTGCTGACCCCCTGTGTGGGCTGCTGATGTAGATGCTCTGCTTTGTCCCCAGGACCATCGAGTCTCTGTTCAAGGAGCTGGTGGAGGAAGGCCTGCTGATCCAGGCTCGGAAAGTCAACCTCTCTGATTACATTGGTAAAGTGCCCCAAGAGCAACCCGTGTGTCCCTGGGGGCCTGAGGTCCAACAGTGGGAACTATGTTTCATCTGAATCTTTGTCCAAACAAACCCCGCCATGGTAGCCTTGGGCAGACGTTTGTCAGACTGAGCTGATGGGAATAACCTAAGGGGGTGCCGTGAACTGACCCCGGGTCCAGTGCTGCCCCTGACATGGCAACAGCAGGACTTTGTATCCTGCTTGCCGAGCTCCTTGGCACATTCTTTCTGCATAACCTGAGGAGGAAATGAACTGTGTGTGCTTCCTGACCAAGCAGAATGCCCTGGGGCAGCCCGGCGCTTCCTCAGTCCACACCCTCCCAGCAGGAATTCCACCCGAGGGAGCTTCCGAGGAGGACAGGGAGGTAGAGAAAAGGAGGTGCGGACAGGGGCTATCACAACCTCCAACTAATGGTTTCTGTTGATCTTTTTTTTTAACCTGGAAACAYAAAGCTTAAGATGCCCCGTAACTTCACCATCCTAGTGCCGACATTACCTTCTCCTGGAGAAAGTCACGKCACCACAGGGGCGTAGACTGCCGCCCAACATGTACGTGCAGCTCAGTTTCCCCGGGCCTGGTRATGTCCTCCATGGGTGACTGCCCATCTCTTGGTGCTCCTGCGACCCTTCCCTCTAGATGTCTCYTGGCCTTTTCCGCCCGGCCCAGCCCGCAGCTCATGGGACTCTGAGCCGCTTTGCAGGCTGTTCCTCCTCTGAGCTGCCTTGATGGTTTCCCCATCATTTGATTTAGGGTGACGTTTTTCACAGGAAAACTTTTGAAGATGCAGTGTCCTTCTCAGTGTTTCCCACTGGACCCAGGGTGCCACTCTGTCCCATCGCTAGTGACATCAAGTTGAACCACATGRTGAAGGTGCTGTCCCCAGACTTCTCCACCGGGAAGCTCATCTTCCTCTTTGTAATGACAGAATAATATGGGATGGCGCTTGGGGCTCTGGAGATGCCGACCCTAGCTGCCTCTCGCAAACACTGTGGCATCCACCGGTGACTTTTGTCTGCGGCAGTCTCACTGTGATGGTGGTAAAGTGGGGYTCTTTTCCCACCACTCCTCCTGCACTGAAAGGGACCATTCTTCTGTAAGAAAGTATGGAACCTTTTTGAATTGTGGTGGTGTCAGTGTAGATGCACGAAGTCTCTCCGTGATCAGCATAGTATAAACTGTGTCATTGTTCACTCTCATAGAGCAATTAGGCACCAAAAACCCTCAGGCCTCCCTTACTCCAAAACTAAATGACAAGATTTACTCTTCAGGGCTGGGGAGGTGGCTCAAGCGGCAGTGTGCTACCCTGGCATGCGTGGGGTGCTGGGATCGATCCTCAGCACCACATAAAAATAAAATAAAGATGTTGTGTCCACTGAAAACTGAAAGTAAATAAATTAATAAATAAATATTTTWAAAAAAATATTTACTCTTGAGCCTCAAAGTACAAGCCTTGGGGACACTGAAGGGCCTGAGAACAGCAGAGCCTCAAAGTAACCAGCCAGCACTCACTGAAAGGTGCCGTGGGCTGGGCAAGAACTGAAGCTGAAACGGAGAGGCGTGTCCATGGCAGATCAGTGCAAAGGGCCGGGCGGAAGCAGTCCACACTGACAAACTCTGGGAGTGACCTCCGCTGTGCCCTTCTTAGAYGGGGCTCCAAACCAAGGAACCTCTTGGGAGAAGAACCAAAACCGAGCAGAACAGGGAAAATAAAGATGAAACAGAAGAACAAAAGCATTGGGAGAGGGGATCGGAGGCAAAGCATGACTTAGAACAGGCCCCGTGTTTCCACATACATGAACAGCAGGAGAGGAAGATTTGCAAAGCTAGAAAAGCCATCCTGAGCCACATCTTCTAGAAAAACAGTTAACTCACATAAATTTTAGCAACAGAAAACTTCAAGGTCAAAGCCCACATAAAATCATCCTAAGAAAAATGAGGAAAAATATCTCAAAAAGACATTGCCATAGAGCAGAAGCTAATRATATGCATTAAAATTATAGAAGACGTGTAAGAATGGCATGAAGTAGAATTAGAAAAACTCAGGAATGAGGTGGTAAAACTCAAGAAATAGTATTAATAAAGGAAAAAATGTTTTAGGAAAAAAACTGATTTAGATACAAGAGCTCATAAGGAACAATGCTTTAAGAGAGAGAAAAGGTAAAAGAAATTTTAAAGTAAAATTAGAAATGAATAGAGATTTTTAAAAATTCAGAAGAACCTATCAAATGCTGAAAACAGACAAAGAAGGTCCAACATACAACTAAGTCCCCGAAGAAGAGCCAAAGGGGAGCGGCAGAACACTACGGAACCAAACTCTTGAGGCTTTCTTTAAAAAAGACATGAAAGCCACCTCAGGAAAGACACACTGCATCTGGGAGCAGGGCCGCAGTTTCACCAACACCAAGCACATTCTCTAAAAGTGCCTTGGGAATCAGTGGCCCCTAAGGGAAAGGAAATTAGATGAACAGCAGCACTTTATATCAGAAGCAGATGGAGCCACATCTTTGAGATGGTCAAGCACCGTAAATAAGACCCGAGGAGTTTGAASTCACCCAAACGCATGTTCACACACACAGGACACAAGCTCCTAACTAGGCAAGAACACAGTGTATTTGGCCCGTGTGCCCATCTTGAGGAATCTGCTAGGAAGGAGCTACCTCATGGAAACGGAGGAGAGAGATCCGACGCCAGGGCTGGTGGCAACCTGCAGGGCATACTCCCTTTTGAACCTGAGACCAAACAGGGCCACCAGGCAGAGTGTGAGTGCAGAGAGCCGTCTGCTCTGACAGCAGGTCACACAGCCACAGAAACCGGGGAGGAAGAGCTGGTCCACACAGGGGCTTGGCGCCTTCAGTATCCTGGGCAGTACTGGTTGGCATGAGAGTGGGTGTCTATGGGGGTGGTGCAGTGTGGGGTAGGCAACTGAGAAGTTGTGGGGCCTGCCACCCACCCCCATGTCCTGAAGACAGAGAGTGGGGTGTATGTGTCATGTAGAAGGAGTTGGGGAAACTGGAAATCCACACTGGTAAAGCACAGAGGCCCAATTCCCAGGAACTGATGGATACTTTTAAGATTCTAAGATTTTAAGATGGATCCACTTTTAAGGTAGGGTGACCATGATGAATACCAGGGTGCATGGCCTTCCCAGCTCTGTCCATCAAAACACCTAGAAAGAATGACCTCCTGGCTCTTGGTCCAGGCAGGACCATCCTGTAGCCACAAGAGCCCCTGGCCTTCGGGTTGTGTTCTTAACACTCCATCTCCCACGGAAGAAGCCAGCACTTCTTGGAGAAATGGCCAGTGACAGACAGGGCAGGGGACACAGAGAGGAGCCCGAGATACCTCCTGTCACATGGTGACGAAGCTGTCACAGATGATCAGGTTCACGGCAGAAAACAGGTTGAAGAAACTCGTTTATGAAGAGACAAGCTGACAAAAGGGAACAGGAGACAAGTTGAGGGAACTCCTCAGGCCAGAGGGGACGGACTGAGCTCAGTGAGGATAAGAAATACGATGTATTGAAATCCATAAGACATATTTCTATTCAAAAGTTCTTAACAACATTTAAAAAACCCTAATTGTCATCTTCACAGAGTACGACCAAGGCCAGTTTATTGTCTTACAAACTGGCAATTAGAAAGATCCAGGCATTTGCTCTGTATGTCCTCACCCCCGGGTACCCCAGCAGCAGGTGAGGGGTGTCTTCCTTTTCAAAACCATTCCAGCTAACCGCCAAGGTCAGAGGGAGTCAGGGCATCGCTGTGCTGCTACCCCGGGGGTCCAAGCACGGGAGGCTGCTAAGCTCTGCGGAGGGCAACCCCCTGACGTCCTCCCACATGAACGCGCAGCCTCCCCCGGGGTGGAACCCAGTCTGACGGGCCTGCAGACCCAGCTGCCATTCTGCTGGGGCTGGCAGGATGGGAAAGCCTCTGGTCCTGGGACAGCCCCAGCTGAACCTCTCTGTCTTTGGTGGCTTTTGGCTTTTGTTCCTTAAGCGGAGCTCAGTGCCTTCACGCCACGCCCTCGGGTCTGGAGAAGGACTTGAAGCCTGGACACTCCTTTGCTCATTGGTCACTGGCTCCCCAATGTCTTTCTGATTTTGGAACAGAACAGTTCATGCCTGGGGCTTCCTTCGCCAGCCAGGCCGGACAGACTTCCCACGTAAGGGAACCTTCCGGAGCAACCTGTTCTCTGCAGAGCTGCGTGCTCAGAGCCCTACACGGCGTCAGGAGGGCAGCCTACAGGCTGTGCCTCCTGGCTCTTCCTCCAGGCAGGACAGACAGGCAGACCTGGGCTTTTCCAGAAGACTAGACGTCCAGCCATGCTCCATAGGGCTGGGAGTCACTTTGGGAGTCAGGATTTGTAGTCCCGCCCCCTCCCAGCACCCCTCAGATCCCGGTCACCACCCCCTTCACAGCAGGTCTGGCTGCAAGAGATGGAAGAGGAGAGGACAGAACCAGAGGCGGGTGGGCCTGCCTGCAAACCTAGCCCTTCCTCCCCGCCCCTCGCCTCCCCAGCTCACCTGGCCACACCCCTCCCGGGCCTCACTCTACACTGTCTGGTGTCCATCTCCAKACGCTGGCCCCATGCCCAGGAAGCCCACTCTGAGGTGTGCAAGAAACAGCACATTTCCTCACAGCCCCCAAACTGCCAAGTCCTTCTCAGGAGCCCCATCCCACCCCTAGGGACCAGCAAGCTTCCCAGTGGGACCCGCGTGCTACAGAGATATTCTGGACATTAGTGCCCATGAAGACCCCCTAGGCCACCAGAATGCAGGCTGGATGCCCACCGCTGGACCCTGGCCAGACTGGGTTTCTCCCCAGGCTCCACGTTGCCTCCCCCAGGAGCTTCCTGTGCCACTCCTGTAGGGTGGGTGATGGCAGCCACCGCCTGGGAAAGTCTCGATGAGTTCTGAGCATGTGGCAGCAGAGACACCCTGGCCAGCCGCCGACACCCCTCCTGCTGTCTCCAGCCCTCCGTCGGCTCAGTGCGCTCCTGTGAAGAAGGAATTGGCTCTGTGGCGCCCCACATGTGCCTCCCGACCATCCACGTCACAAAGCACAAGGCACAGAGCAGGCTAGCCACTGGCTGAGGAGAGACAGAGATGGGTTTCCCTCTGGATGACTCCGTCAGCACCAGGCCTCAGAGAGAGCTGCGTTTGGTTGAAACTGAGCCCAGTTAGTGTTTTCCACATTCGCCCTRAAGTCCTCCCCTGCCCTGAAGGTCGGAAGACTCAGTGGGTTCCCAAGCGCCCATCCCTGGGGGTTCTGGCTCAGGTCCTGTGCACAAGAAGAACATCCCAGGCAGCTCCCAGGCAGGCTTGGCAGAGCCGCTGCAGCAGAAAGGACACAGGTGCACCGAGTCTCTGAGACTTGTGACGTGGTCCTCATTGTCACCGGGAAGCTCTGCGCAGGAGCCAGCTCACCTGGGCTCTCTCTAGCTCTGCCTGGTCCCTAGAGCTACCGAGGGTTCTGGCGTGCAGGACGGGCTGGATCAGGCTGGGGATCACCACTCAGCAAGTCCTGAGTGCCTCTCAGAGGCTCCCAGCCAAGGAGCAGCCTGTTCAGGGAACCTCCCGTGTCCGCTCACCCATGCCTGAGGAGCTTGTTTAAAGACCCAGATTGCTCCATTTCCTTCTTTCTTACACTGTTAGGGACAATGGGAACGTGGGGGCTGATTCCATTTTCATTCTGTGGGTATTTTTTGTTTCTCTTTACTGGGCTCTTCCACCCTGATTCTCTTAACTGTGTGCTCATCGGGGACGATGTGCAGAATCACCTTGGCAGGTCGTGGCTGGCTTGAGGAACGCCGGCTGGTGGCCTCAGGCCCTGGAGGCCTGGAGGCCAGTGTGAGGGTGCGGGTGGGTGACCTGTCCACCTCTGCCSTGCGCAGGTAGCTGTGGCATCTCTGGGGCTTGTTGGTGTGAAGCGGCATCGCCCGTCTCTGCCCTCCTCTGGGCGTGGYGTTCTCCTTTTGTGCCTCCGTTCACGTCCAGTTTCACCTTTTTGTGAGGACTCCAGCCCTATAGGATTTAGGGTCCACCCTGATGAGCCATGGGCCAGGCCCTGTTCCCACAAGGTTGCATACTGCGGTTCTGTGTGCAGGAACTGCCCAGGGCCAGGGCTCAGCCCACGGCAGGGTCCGTTTCTCCCCTGTCTGGGGCGTCTGGGCCCTTTCTCACATTGTCTCTGTCTCAAACACCTCTTCTGCTGTTTTTCTTTTTCCTCCCTTGTGGAAGGTCTGGACCTGTGCAGGGAATCCAGAACTTTCTGAGCTCTGGGTGGGTGGGAGAAAAGRTCCCCCACCGGGCCATCACCAAACACATGGCCGGTTACAATTAAGCCCTTCGATATCTTCTGATTAAACCTGTAGAGATTTATTTCTGTATTATTCCTTCGGCGTCCCCAGCATGGGGACATGCTCCAGCGAGGGCACGTCTGCCATCTTTGGGTCTGGGCTGAGGACTTGCAGGCAGTCAGCTGGAGAGAGGATGGCTAGTATGTGCCTTCCGAGTAGATGGAGCCTCCTAGCTTGGCAAACCGCCTGGGCGATTGGCACCTTCACTGTATCAGAACCAACACTCCCTAATTCAATTTTATATGATCTGCTTTAAAAAAAAAGCCATTAGGTTCTGGAAATATGGTGAGTCTGGTCATTAATATGGGTTTACATAGCAGGAGAATCAGGGTCACTTCCCTATCCTCTCTAACGACGTGTGTACTGTTAATAAGGGCTGGGTTGAACGGGTGCTGCGGGACCTCTCTCCTGGTGAAGGCTAAATTAACCACTCTGGTATTTATTACCTGCTCATTAAAGAGCGTGGGCATCCGAAGCCGTGGTGGAGATTTCATCATTACTCATCCCTGCACCCCACACCCTGCCCTTGCCAAGGACTCTCTCATTCAGAGGCCTGGAAGCCTGCCCTCTGCAACAAAGCAGCCACCATGTCTGAATTTTAACCCTACTGTTCTTAGAATTTGCAAAAGTGTGTAAGCTTCTGATACTTTTTTGTGATTCATACGCGAGTCTGCTCTTGCATCCCTAAACCTCAACCCCAGAGCCCTGCAGGTCAGTTCTTGCTAGGAGGGCAGCTGTAGGAAACCATCCCAGACACTGCTGTTCGTTCATTGAATATTTTTACTACAAATTCAGGCACAAATCAAGAGGATCATATGATCGTATAAAGGCCCATCCTCGTGACAAATGGAGACAGCCAAACTAATTTTCTTGGTGACCTTATCTAAATTAGTTAGAAAATAACGCTTCAGATTTATGGCTGGTTACAATTAAGCCCTTTGATATCTTCTAATTAAACCTGTAGAGATTTATTTCTGTATTATTCCTTTGGCAACCCTTTAAAAATGATAAGAATGTAAATGAATATTACCTTCAGAAGGAGATGTTTCTATTTATCCTAAATTAGACTCCTACCCTTCCTTTCAGATGACTGCATTTTAGATTTCAGATTTGCACTGCTGCAAAGCAGATTCCACATGGGTCTGAAATAATTTATTTTTTAAGTTTGTGCAAACGTTATATATAATCTCTTAGAATATAAATAAAGCAAAACCCACTGGATTTTAGCTTCCTTTGCATGTCCCTCGTTTAAAAACTTTATCTCATTCCCCGAACCCAATATTCAAATGTTATTTGTTGAAATATTAGGTGAGTGTAGTCACCAATGTAATTCCCAGTTAATTACAGGTAGGACAGCGGTGTCCCCTGGCTTGGGTGGCTCTTCAAACCRTCCTCTAGATAGACGTGTTCTTCACAGTGAGTCTCCATAGCCCCGTTCTAGTCCCTCTGCAGGGTGAATGAGTGTTCTCCCACCATTTTGCTCTTCCATTACTGATCCCCAATTCTCTCCTCTCAGGTGAGTACAGCTACCTGGGGACCACACTCCGCCACGTGTCCATAGAGCCCATGCCTTCCCTCCTGGACGTCCGACAGCTCATCACGCTCTACGGGATCTTGCCTCTGGGTAAGGACCACTGCGCCTTTCCACGCGCGGGTGGTCCCAGTGTGGATGTTCTTTGCAGCTTTGCTTCTGCTACTGATATTTCTGAGTGAGCCTCGCTGCCCTTCGACAGTTCATCCCCAGCATGGGGGAGTGCTCCAGGGAGGGCATCTGCCCGTCTTTGGATCTGGGCTGGGGACTTTCAGGCAGTCAGTGGGAGAGAGAATGGCGAAAGCAAGCACCTCAGTTTAAGTGAGTGGCATCAGAGGAAGCACGGGTGGCCATGGACCTCTGTGCATGGGCTTCTTCACTGCTCCTGAGCACAGGCAGCTCCTGGGTCCCCGGGCTCACCTGAGGCTGGGCCAGCCCCCCGAGGTCCACTCTCACTGCTAGCCACAGTTTGGCATGCTTCCTCGGAGCCTGTGCCGCGCCAGCCTGTCAGGTTCTTCTCCCCCACCTCTGCTGCTGTCACCCCAGGTGTGCCCAAGCCACCTGGGGCAGGGGCAGTGCCCCAGGGGACAACTGTGACGTAGAAGTCTCACTGTCTCCTTTGCTTGCAATGGGAGTAGTTTGAGCGCCTCTGATCTGAAGAAGAGCTTAAGCCAATTGGCAAGAAATAGTTGAGTCCTCTTCTAACGTCATATCAGACACAGTAAATGGAACCTGGGGTGMTGTTAACATGCACATCCCAGCAAGTAGATGGATCGGGGGCAAGAACTCAGTGTCTAYAACATATAACATTCACAGGGTCAATGTAAGTAAAATAGCAGGTTGGACCTCACCCTCATCCCAGTGTGTGGAAAGCCCACAGCACGCAGGGCCAGCAGGGCCCGGGCTGTGGATGTGAGGGGCTGTGGAGGGTTTCCTGTCGGACGCCTCTGTGAGGGGTGCCCAGGAAGCACTTCCCCCGCCCTGCGCTCCTTCATCAAAGGGCCTGCTGTCCTGCCCGCCCTTCTGGGCACAGACCCCACGGGGCTTTTCTTCCGACAGAGGTTTGGTGTCATGTCTGGAATGTTTAAGAAGCCTTCAGGTGCTTAATTTAAATTTCATGAGTTGTCTGCAAACCAGAGGAACCCAGAAAGACCCCCACACCCCCCCAGCCCCCACAGCCCAACACCTGTGGCTGCCACTCGCCTTCCTAATGCATCAGGCGAAGGTCATGTGTCAAAACAGTATCCAGTTACAGGAAGGAATGTAGGTTCTCGTTTCCTGGGCTCTGATGGTTCAGATCCTCCGTGGTGGCCACTGCCCCAACTAACAAGCCTTTCAGAGAAGCCACAGCCACTCTTCACACCAGACTGGGAAACAGCCCCATCCAGGGCTCCCAAGAACAGGTTTGAGGCTCCAAAGCCACCTTAGTAGGTAAGAGACAGCCTGGTGTCTGTCAAAGACCTGGGAGAAAAGGCCCRGAGGGGACAATTCCTGAGCAGAAGCATGGTCCTCAGCGGGGACTCACAGCCGTGGCCACTCCCCACCACAGCCATGCAGGTGGACTCGGTGACCGCCTTCCAGATGAGCAAGCATCTCCAACATGGTGAGGGGTGGGAAGAGGCAACACTGGGATCAGGATCCAGGAGCCKGGCCTTCCTGTGCTCTGCAGTCCTCCCCCACCAGAAGCTCCCGCGGCTCTCRGCCACCCCAGCAGCAGCAGGGAGAGCCCTGCTGACTCCCAGTCCACCCGCCCACCTTCAGCCTCCTTGGGTCACCTGGCTCCCAGGTGCAGAGGCCTTCCCCAGCCACCCTCTCCTCCTCTGGGCCGTCGGCCTGGCCCTCCTCTGGAACGTGACTCCAGCACGTCACACRCACCTTCTCGGCATCTCCTGCTRCCCCTGCCCAGGTGCTGTCCTGGTCCTGTTCCTTCCCCCTGCACCTCTTCCAGCCCCTGGCCCCTGCAGTGTGCCATGCCGGCCACCCTYCAGGGACCCCGACAACTGGTGGCATCCTTCTCATGCCCCTCACGGTCCATCCCCGGTCACCTTGCCTACTGGAATCACTCACCACAGCCCTGTGTCACTGTGGCCCCCGGCTGGAGCCTTCCACCCTCCTCCTTAGGTCAGCCTTGTACTGGAAACTTCTATCACCACGTGGTCAGCCTTGGCCAGCTCTTTGTCCTTTTAGGCCAGTTGTTAATGTGCCCGTATAATTATGATACGCTTTTCCTTTTCCTTTTTCTTGTACAGGAAATTATGTAACATATGCAAACACGATTTTCAGGATTATCCACTGTCCTCCACATGAGCCAGCCCTCTGTAGGGTGACATTGAATGAGCGTGTTTGCTTGTTAGCGAGGGATGGGGTAGTGGAAGTGAGGAAGGCACACGGTTTTCCCGGCAGGGGAGGGGTGCCAGGCCTCCCTTGTCCATTCAGCCCCGGGGTATGGAAGGCTGTCCAGGGTCCAATTCCTTTCTCACTATGCCCAATCCGAGCTCTGCTTGCATTCTCTGCGATGGAGACTCCCCACCCCCGGAGATGGGCAGTGTGGTTGAGAACACAAGGCAGGAACCCTGGAATAGTGACAGTAATTCAAGTCACATTACTACCCAGCGTCGGTCTGACTGTGCTGCCCAACAGGACAAAGGCCAGGGAAGAAGGAGGAAGCCGAGGCTACTTCCTGCCTGGGTCTCGGCACAGTCAGCACCACTAAATGCTAGGAAGGCGGCTCCAGGGACCCTCCTTGCCCACTTCACRGACTCCGTCCCCACCTTCCTTCCCAAGCCTGCAGGGATTCGTGCTGTAGCTGGGAGGTGGAGAACCCTAAAGAAATAAAAGTAAAAATCCAAGAAAAGCTACCCCAGGAGCTCAGCTTAACCCTGGGAGTTAGGGAAGGTGTCTGGGGAGAGGGAGAAAAGGAGGTATTGAGTGACCACTGACCCTAGAGCTCCAACCCAGCTCTGGTGTACAAACCAGAGACGCTGCAGCCCAGGGCAGGAGCCACGCCCAGGCTCACCTTCTTCCCATGGTCATCACGGTGCAGAAACCAGGGCCACAGGAGGTGCCAGCCCTGAGGCTCTCAGTGAAGGACCACTGGTGTTCTTGGCAGGTGTTATGGTCTGGATGTGAGGTGTCCCCCAAAGCTCACGGGAGAGACAACTGGGTGGTGGGATTAACTGGGTGGTGATTGGGGCAGGGTGTGGCTGGAGGAGGTGGGGCGTTGAGGGTGGGCTGTGGGGTCTGTATCTGTGTCTGGCAAGTGGAGCCTGTCTGCTGCCTGTCCGTCATGTGAGCCACTTCCTCCAYCACACTCTTCCACCTTGATGTTCAGCCTCAGCTGGAGCCCTAAGGAATGGAGCTTGCCTTCTGTGGACTAAGACCTCCGAAACCCGGAGYCCTCAAATAAGCCTTTCCTCCTCCACAGTTGCTCTGGTCAGGTCTTTCCGTCACAGCGGCTGATGGAAAGAGCAGGATTTCCGAGCCGATGCCCCCACCTTTCCAGGGTCTGCCGCCGTGCACGAGAAGGCTCCCTTGGTGAAGTCCTTGCTGCTGGCTGGGCCGTCCGGGGTAGGGAAGAAAATGCTGGTCCACACCATCTGCACGGAAACGGGAGCCAACCTCTTCAACCTGTCGGCGGCCAACATCGCTGGGAAGTACCCTGGCAAGAACGGCCTGCAGATGATGCTGCACATGGTCTTCAAGGTACGTGCTCCGTTTCTCTGGCTCGGATTCTCCGCCCTCTTTCAAATCACATTTTCAAATCCCGCAGATAACTTTTTTAGGCCAACAAGTGCGTCTCTCTTTAACTTCCCCCATTGCCTCCTCTGTCAATTCATGGGTTGCCGCCCCTGGCTGTGCATCCTGCCATTAGGAGCAGCTTCGTTTTCCGTGTAAACACCCTCCTGTGCCATCCAGACCCCCCACCAAACCCTTGCACAGCCCAATGAAAATCCAATCCACAGTCTCCCTCCTCAGCCCGCCCCGCCCGCTGTAATAACATGTGTCAGGCATTCGCACTTGGGCTTCGTTGCTCATGTGGCATAAACTGCTGGGCTCCGGTGGCTCCCGAGCATCAGCTCTTTCCTCGGGAGACCTGGAGCAGCTCGCGGTACGCTAAGCAGAGCAGGGATGTGAAAAGGCAAGGGCTCCACGTGGGAGGTGGTGACAGATCAAACATGCACCGACGTGGTCAAGGACAGCCACTGTGATCCAAGTCGTGTGACTACCCAGTATCGGCATTCAGCTAATCCAGCCTTCCACAACTCAGTGAGTGAGTGACAGTACTGTGGTTTCACCCCTCAGCCACTGTCCTCCTAACAGCAGCGATTGCTGGACTTGAGAGCAGAGCCTCTGCCTGCGTGGACTGCCGACCTYTCCCAGGCGGAAGCGCCCTTAGGAGATGCATCCGCTTCGTCACTGTTTTCCTGATGGCTTGGTTTGTCATTGTGAAGTGTCTCTGGAAATGACCCTTGTCTTGAAGTCTACCTATAGTTAATATTATTGTGGAGGTAGCCACCCCGGCTCTCTCGTGCTTACATCTATGTGTATTTTATGTATCTGTGTCTTTAAAGAGCATCTCTGTAATACTACAAAGCTGCTTTTTCTTATTCAGTCTGACAATATGTGTCACTTAATTGATGCACTTGCTCCGTTGTATCCATCCATCTTTATGGCCATTTCCCTGTCTACTCTCCATTGTCCATTTCTTTCTTATTCTGCGTCTCCTTTCCTTCCTTCCTTTGGGTCAATTCAGCATTTTCCTAGTAGATCCKGTCAGTTCCTCCTCGGTCCTTTCAGCAGTGTGTCCACTGTATTGCACAGGGCTGCTCTAGGTTGCACCCACCAGGCTCTCCAAGGTCCGCGTGGAGTCAGTGTTGTCCCCGTCCACGTGCCCAGCAGCGGCACAACCCTCTGCCACCCTTGCCAACTCGTAGTTCTGCAGCTAAATCAAAACTACAATTGAATGTTGCTATCTTTGCCTCAAACAGCCATTGGTCTTTAAAATCAAAAGAGAAAGAGCCACAGTCTCCGTGGTCTCCACATGTCCACCGCTCCAGCACCCTGGTCCCCTGCAGCTGTCCACACTCCCGCCGGCCTGGCTGCCCTCTCCACCAGGGAGCTCCCTTAGCACTTCTTTCAGTGCAGATTTGCTGCCAGTCAGTTTTCTTAGCTTTCATTTCTTTCTCTTAAAAGTCTTTACACTGTCCCTAGCTTTTAAGGACACTTTTGTTAGACATCGAGCTCGGGGTTGACGTGTTTTTCTTTCAGCACCATGAAGATGTCACGCGGGCCTTCTGGCCACCAGTGCGTGTGGCCAGGAGTTGCTGAGCCGGGATCCCTGCTTCCCRGGGGCTCTGCCCTTCTCGGGATGGCTCCGAGAGTCTCCCTTATTTTGGTTCCTGCCTGTTTGACCTGGCGTTCCTGTTGGCTTTATTTACTCTGCTTTTGACTCAAGTGCATCTTGAATCTGTAGATACATCATTTACACCAAATCTGGGGTATTTTGGCCATTGTTTCCTCAAATATTTTTTTTTCACCCATCTTCTCCCTCCTCTCCTAACCCTCCAGTTAGACATATTTCACCTTGATTCTGCCCCCTAGGTCTCTGTTCCCACTGGATAATCTGTCACTGTGTCTGCGTTTACCTGCCCTTTCCTCTATCATCCCCAATCTGCTGTTAAACCCATGGTGTGGATTTTTTAGTTTTTGATACCTTTGTTTCTAATTCTAGAACTCGTGTTTGCTGCTGGGGGTTGGTTTTCGATGCTGAGCGGCACTTCTCCATCTGCTCATTCATTGACCATCTTTCCTCTAAGTCCCTGAACCTCGCAGTCCTTGCCTCGCAGAGCTTCTCCGCTCCTTCCAACGCAGCACCATCGAGAGTCTATTTCTGCTTGATTGCTTTCTCCTGGACCATGTGTCACATTTCCCGGGTTCTTTGTGTGATTAAAACTTTTTACCATATGTTAGACATTGTGGATGATACGTTGTCGAAGTTCCCTGGCAAGCCRAGTGTGGTTCTGGCAGGCAATTAACTGACTGGCTGATGAACTTGAACTTGCAAGGCTTTGTTCTCTGTTTTCTTAATGTGGTCTGTTTGATTTTACCCTCAGTCCAAGGTAAATCCCCCAAGCCGGGGACGTGGTCTTTCCTCAGCTGCCGTGGAAGAAAGCCTCTTTAGGCTCCTGACGGGCGGGACCTGAGGCATTGACTCAGCGGTTCTTCCCTGAGCCTCTGGGGCTCTCCGGCTCTGTGTGCACACTTTGCAGGTCAGCTGCTGACCTGAAGGTGAGCTGGCAGCCGAAGCCAGGCAGCTGCCCTGTGCCCTCTGTGTGCTTAACCAACAAGCTAAGCACCAGGTCTTAGAGGAAAAGTAACAGAAACCCATCCCTTGCCCAAATGAGCACCCAGCCTGGTTCACTCCAAATGTCAAGTTGTAGGGACWCTTGGTATTGTCAGGTGACACACAGAAGCACACGAATATAAAAGCATGAGCAGTTTTCAAGCGTCTATGCACCCCACCTTGCTGGGCTGTGGTTGCCTGTTAACTCAACTCTCCCCACAGCCTGGGAGGCAGGCACCAACACCGTCCCATGTGACTGATAAGCAGACTGGGGCACAGAGCATTCAAGTAGYGTCCTTGGATGGCAGTGCTGCCGTATGACCCCTCAGGGTCCAGCCCCAAAGCCTCCAGTTTCATAACTACACGACACAGCTCTGCCGGAAGTAGGTCCTCACGTGTAGCCTCCTGAAGTGGGGCTGCCGGCCCAGCCCCTGCTCCTGGGGGCCTAGGAGCTCCTGGTGTGCATCTGGGGCCCAGCCAACGGCATGATCCTTGTTCCAGGAGGTCATTTGTTCCCACCCTGGGAGGCTTTGTCTCAGTATCAGATAAGYTGTTTGTACTTATCAGAATGATCACAAACTGACATCGTGTGGACCACGGACGTCGGATGTCAAATTATTAAAACGTGGAGCAACACATTTATCTGCCTGGGCCGCGTGTCAGAGTTCAGGACGCTCACCTCGTTAAACTCCACCTTTATTGTGTGTATAGCTGATTAATGAAAGACACCAAGGTCTCGGGAGTGGGAGTCATTCAATTAAAACATGTTCACAGTGAGGCCACTGTGCGCCAGCTATTTGCATTGCAAAGAGGTTTTGCTTTTAATTAACCAGAGGAAAGAGAGAGATTCTGCTTGTGTTGATAAGTCAAGGGCAGGAAGCTGAGCACGTCTCTGTGATATGTGAACCCAGGCCGGAGCACAGCCCAATGTAGCTCTGTTCACCTCTCTTGCCGGAGGTGAAGGGACAACTGGGCCTGATTCCGCCTCACCTCTTCCTGCGAAGAATTCCTGCCATGGAATTGATCCCAGAGGGCAGAGAGTGCAACTGGTGGGAGACTTCTTGGCTTCATCTCTGACTGGTGGCCCCACCTCACCCAGCCACCTGAGCACCCCGGGGGGAAGTCGCAGATTTACTATGTCACCACCACGAAGTCCAAGTCCTTTGTTATGGTCATTAGCAGAGGATTCTTTATCTCACACTGGACTCCGAAGGGCAGTAAGTAGCAGCAAGTGTTTCCTAAAAGAAATTATGCAAGTCAACAGCGCTCACAGCAAATGTCCCTGTGACTACACGCAGAAAAGAAGATGTGTGTCTTGGAAATATTAGAAAAATAGTCAATGAGTATTTCTTAATAGACAATTAATAAATATTTGGTGTGTGGGGGATGAATATTTAAAGTATTTGTGGACAAAGAAGTTAGCAAGGCAGGGCCATTACCGAGGACTCCCCCAGCTCCGGCCCCCCGGGTCTCCGACCCAGTTCATGGGGGCAGAGGAGCAGAAGGGGCCCTTGTTGGCCTCTAACAGGAGCAAGGCACTGAGGACGGTTACAACGCTTTTCCTTTTAATGGTGCCAAACCCTGCCTGGGGTAGGAATTAATGTTCCCATTTTACAGACAAGAAAATTAAGACTCAAGAGTACCAGATGGACCACATACAGGAGAACCAGAGGCTGGAATCTGCCCTTGAGCCCGGGCCTGACTCCGCCCTGCCAGGCTGGCCCCAGCTGCTCCTGGGGGAGGCTCCCGGCCCTGCCCCACCTGGGCTTCCTGGGCCCGAGTGTCAGCAGGGACACTGAGCTAGAGTCCTTGGGAGCRTCCACAGGATCCCGCCCAATCCCCCTTCCCTAGTGTCCTCTCTTCCCTCAGAATGGCCTGACTCTCAGGCCTCCTGGCAGAGTCAAGGGAGGCCAGAGCAGAGCCCAGAGGGAGGCCAGCAGGGGACTCACTGGCTTGCACTCGGGTCTCAGGACAGATGCTGTCTCCTCTGCGGTGGTTCTTGGCCCTCCTCATCCTCCTTCTGCACACTGACCTGGCCCTCTGGCCCGCGTGAGACCAGGGCTAGGGGCCACCCAGCCAGGGGGGATGGACGTGCTGGTGCAYACTACCTGTCTGTGCAAGGTGAAGTTCAGCAGGGCCAGCACCCCAGCCCAGCAGAGCCCACCAGAGGGGCGGAAACAGGAGAAGAGGGAGCGGGCAGTCTGGTGACGCTCAGCTGTGACAGTTGAGGGGGCTGTGACAGCCCTGAATGGCCCGCTGGGGGAAGGCCAAGGTCACCTTCCACCGTGGGATGGAGGCGGTTTCCGACTGAGGGAGGTGCACACTGGAGTCCAAACCTTCCACTCTTTTTTTTTGTTTT